AATTTTTTCTTTATAATAAAGATATTAATTTATATATTACATTTTTCAGAAAATTAGGCAACATTTTTGAGAAAAATAAAGAAAGTAATTTAACAAATATTGAATTGCAATGGTTATGTATAAAAATTGGAAGATGTTTAAGGCTTAACAATAATGAAATTACATGATTTTATCTTAAAGTATCCCAAAATCCTAATTTTTTATTTAAGGCCTTTTGTCAAATTGCAGCCAATGAGCCAGAGAAACTTTTTAATTCTTGCTTTGAACTTTTTACTAAAGTTCAGCCAGAATTTGTAAATAAAGTCTTAAATTTTAACTTTAAATATGAAATTTTAAATATAAATAACATTGTTCCTATTCAAAGCTTGATACAAAATTTTATTTGAATCGAAGATAATATTGATACATTTGACCAATATATGAAGTATTGAGTTTAACATTTAGAAAGTGTGATCAATAACTTAGATAATAATTTGAATAACCATATATCGTATGTAAATATAAAAATGAAATAGAAAAATATAAAAATCGAATAAAACACCTTGAGAAAGAAAATTCTGAACATATAGAAAGTTTTGAGGAAAATCAAAATAAATATAAAAACCAAATAAAAAGCCCAAGAAATGAAATGAAAGAGAAAATAATACAAATTAATTATTTAGAGGCAAGATATTTACTGTTTTAGCTAAATTATCGTTGATTAATACAGTAATCACTCTATTTTTTTTAAGAAATAGTGAAATAAAATCTGAATGTGATAAGTTAGAGTCTAATTTAAAATTTAAAATGTAAGTATATATATTTGATTCTAATTTACTATAGATTAGTGATCTTGCAGAATAGATATAATTAATATTTTATTTCAAATTATTATCTAATAATGTAATTTAAAATCTTAAGTATGAATTATCAGAAAAATGAAGCTAGTATACTTTATGAACTTGATAAACTTAGGCAAGAAAACGAAAGTTTCAAGAACAATTCAATTAGATTCAAGCAGGAAAGAAGAATCAAGTTATTAAAGTATTATTTATCATTGTAATTTTTTTTATCAAATTTTTTAATTTAAAACTTACTCTAATAACAGATAAATGAGAAAGATGAAGACAAAATTGATGAAGGTATAAATATTTATTTCTCGATATCTTATAACTAAATAATCAATAATGTATTTAAATTTTTTTGTTAGGCATGATACATAAAACTGAATTGACAAGAATAATAAAATTAATTAAAGATCAATTTGAATCCAAGTTAAATTTGTTGAATAATGAGATTCAAGAAACTCAAATATTCAAGAATTGTAATTAAAATTTAAATTAATTTTGATGATATTTTGTAAGAAATTCGATAAATTATAAATATTGTA